ACTAGAAATTTAAAATGAAGTTCTTTAATACTTACCCCTATTAGCCTTCTTCTATTTTTTAATTATATTTAACAATTGCTTAATACAAGAAATCATTTCTGACTAATGTTTAAAACTAATATCTAGCCAATCCCAAAGAAACAAACTACAACTATGAACTTGACTCTACTCACCCTATTACATTAATTGACTATACTAGAAAAATCTTTACAAAATTCCTAACAACTTAACTAACAAATATTCTAATGTGTAACCAAGTACTATCTCCATATATTTTTGCAGCTTTTCCTCATCAATCTATATTATAGCTGATCTCACAACTTACACAAACCCTAGAAGATGTAGTCACAAATAATAAAGAAATCTGAATCCTCTTCTAAGATATGTTAAAAGCCTTTGATTCAATTCATATATCTACTTTAAGCAAAGCACTCAAAAGAATATGCATCCCAGACAAGGCAATAAACCTACTAGTATACTTGCTCTCTTATCAAACCAACAGAGTAATCACAACCCTAGGTCTAACTGCACCATACTTGGTAGAAGATGATATTGACCAAGAAGAAACAATCACTCCTCTTCTTTAGGAAATATGCTTGACCCATTAATATCATAAATACATAAAGAATAGCAAGAATACTATAGTGAAATTCCTTTTCTTAGTACAAAAAAAATACACACCTTGGTAATGGCCTACATGGATGACTCCTTATGGATTGCACCAAACAGAGTCTTGCTTACTAACATTTTACATACTGCCTCTTCTTTCTACAAGTTTGCCAATATAAAAGTCAACTCATTGAAGTTCACTTTAGTTACAAACTCATCAGATTCAGACAAAACTATACTTTTTGACAAAGAAAAACTAACAGCAATTAACAATGAGGCACCTTTTAAATATTTGGGAGCATGGTTCTCAACTAGTAAAAACCAATACTAATATAAAAAGAAATAATATCTGAAGTTAAAATTAATTTAAAAAAATTACAATTTGTTAACATAACAGAAAAACAAGCAATTTATATCATAAATAGTATTATTGTCCTATACCTATATTTTTTATTTTTTTCTTCCTTACAACTAGGCTTTCTCAACAGAGCTTGCATTTAATTAATAAAGCACAAAGCAAGATTAGCACAAGGGGTTTCAAATTTCTTTCTATTCAATTTAAACATTTATGCACTAATAAATTTAAAACAAGTTCAAACATCAGCACTAGTTACAACACTTCAAAAAAACTTAAATTATAATAACTTTGATGCTTCTTTTCTAAAACTGTGACTACAACAACTGCAAGATACAGCACTTACAAACATCTCAATTTTGGAACAACTTCTAGTATTCTCATTATTACAAATGAATACACAAACATGCCAAATAATAATAGCATTACATACACTAGGATTGCAAACTATATGAGATAGTAATGACTGGCCCTACTCAAAAAAATTTCTTGGAACATCTATAAACCAACTTCTTATAAACCATCCTAGAGCCTCTTATCTTAAGAAAAAATTAAACAACTACAACATCATAAGCATCAAGCAATTCTTAAACTTAACAAATACAGAACTGATAACATAGAATAACTTTCATTATAATATTAGAAAAATACTTAAAGGCCAATGTTTTTATTAGTTTTCAATAATACAGAACCTAATAACTGCTTCTGTGAATCTATCATTAACACTTTCAGAAATAAATCCATACATCACAACCAATTAGATGCCTAACAAGGAAAACTGAATAATTACAAAGGACTTATTTTATAAGAAAATTTATAATCTATTTAAAAAGCATCTTAAAATTTGACATTACAACTTGCATTTAGACAATACACTAACAGCTTGTCAAGGATGCACTCTAAAAAACAGATCCTACATTTCTAAATACTATTATTTTAATACTACAGAACCAATATATAATCTCTAAGTGGATTGTAAAAAAAGGATCTACATTAATCTAGATGACTTTAAAAAAGCATTAACTGTAAATTTACCAATAACAAATCAATTTCAAAAACAAGAAATGCACTCAGTCTTAGCTAGACCCTTATGTTTATTTAACAACTCTCTAATATTATTCTGGGACACATTGACAAAAAACAACTTTAACAAAAAAATGATAACACTATATATAACAAGTAGTCAATGCAATATCAAAAACAACTCTTATATAATCACGAGTTGCTGCTTTCAATATCTTGATATCTCATTCAGTTGTTTTACCAACTGTTGATCTTCTCACTTAAACACATTAATAATCTTGTTAATTTTTATACTCATTACAATAAATCTAGGTGTCAATGTTAAAATAATCACTAACAACTCTTTACTTGTAAATATAATTTCTTATATTAGTCAGTCTAATCATATAACTATCCTAGTTTGGATAAACAGCAACATACCTACCTTTTTCTGATACTAAAAGCAATAACATATAATCAAACTCTAACAATTATATTGGACAAAGAACTCAAAATTCTGCAAGCACAAAACAACATATTTTTACTAGATTCTACATCATAAAAATTCTTATATAACTGCTTTGTTCAAAAGTTTTTTGGCAATTCTTGTACATATTTATTAAAAACTACATTAAAACAAATTCACCAAATCACAAACAGAATGGTTTGGTTCAATCAACAGCAGATCTTATTCTGGCACATCTTATAAAACAAGATTAACTGGTCACTTATACTGCAATACTTATCATATAGAGAAAAACCTCTTGCCTTAGTGACTGATCCTTTCTCTTTAGCACTAAAAAACTTTAAAATAAAAATACTCTCAGAAGAATTACCTATGAATCTTCTGCTTCACATTAACAAGCATATGCCACTAGGACTAATAATGACTGAAACATTGGCACCTTTTGAAAACAACAAACAAAAAAATAAATATGCTCCTCTCATATATCATAATATTATTATTACAATATATAAAAAGCTTTAGCTTATCTCAAGAACAGTACAACATAATTCAGTTTTCCCAACTCTATTATCCTTACAACCTTCAACACTAGCTAAAACTAAACCAATTCTAATATCAGTATTAAATGAAAAAATATAGCAATTTATTACTAATAAACAATCTTCTTTTCATCATCTTATCAAAGACTAAAGGTTTACTGACCATTCTGGCAAAATATAGATCAAGAATAAAGTAGCTCTTACCTTCATCTCTCCTAGTTAAGTTTCTTCAACATGTATCTTATATATATGTAATTTGACTAATTAATAAAAAAATAAAGAATAGACTTCTCTTTTTAAAAAAATAATAATAATAATTTTATTTTCTTTGTATATAAAATTGCTTATTGTTATAATAATCCATTATGATTTCAAGTAAAGCACTGCAAATTGGCATAATATTTGCTTATATAGAAGATATTGGTTCAGCTCTTAAGAGCTACTCTATTGAAGCTTAATTGTTTTATAAATAATTGTGCTATTTTAATGCTATTTATTATACAATATTTAAGCAAAAATGATTATCGTCAGTACTTTATTTATTCTTTTATCTGATAAATAAATAATTCTTAAAACAATTAATAATTCTATCCTATAATAAAACAATTAATAATTCTATAATCATAATTTTGTTATATTATAATTTAAACAGACATAGTATGATGTAATGCATTAGTTTAGTAATTATATTTTTTTAGTCATTAATAGACTTGAGCCCTTATATATAATTTTTTTTTTGGTGTTAAGGTGACCTCTTTGGTCTTTTGATTTTTATTAATTATTTATCAGCATTGTGGTTCAATAAACCACTACAGAAGAGCATACAATTGGCTATACATGTAACTTTTCTATATTACCTATTTAAGAAGTCTATCTAAAGGTTCTCACCAATTGCCAGACCTAACACCTCTTGCTTGAATGTTCCACTTTAAACCCTCTGAACCTGTAATCTGTATAACATTACTGAGTCATATCCAGATGTCCAGATCATTGTCTCAACTTTAAAACTAATTTATCCTCAAGATAAACCCTCCAGAGCCTTCAGTACTCATTTTTACAGCTGACCTAGATATCACTATGGCAGAACCAACATTTGCGATCAGGGCTAATCATTAAACTGCTATGTTCTTGTAAAGTTCACTTAGACTCTAGCATCTAATTTACAACATAACTCCAGTACTTTGTCTTTTCTCCTGCCCTTTTATCAAACTTCCAATTCAGATAGCCCATGTAGGACTACAACCAGTCTATCGGTATATTGGGTTAGCCCGATATCTTTTTCCTTTGGTTCATTCTAGTGGCCTGGTTGGTGATATCTTCAAGACTTCCCAACCTGAAGGTTCTTGCCCATCTGGCTACTAGGACCAGATACTAAACCTAGGTATCCATTTTGCCAGGCTAGCCTTTATAGTAAGGCTGTCAAAAATCCAGCTACTTCTTTATTTGGATCTTTTTAAATGGACTTCTTGTTACCCAATTTCAACAGATTTACATAGCTACAAGGACTTATCTAGTGTTTGCACTACTCAATATGTCAGTTTGCATTTCTCTGTATAACTCCAACATTGCACAGATGCCTCATAACCTGCCAGTCATGCTGGTGCAATCACCATTACAGGTATCCTAATCTAATCATAGTAACAGTTGCTATAATACAAATATTACATAGATGATTATCCAAATTTTCATCGTTGATGGATTTGAACACCCAACCTACCACTTGGGAGGTTGACACCTGACCACTTCACTAGGTCACTACACCCCTATATATATATAATAGTTTTTAAAAATTAGGCCCCTTATATGTAATTATTTTTAATTTGTACCTGTATTTGTAATTATTTTCACTTTCTGGTCTCTTATTTGTAAATTCTTTTTTAAAGAATTTATTAAATAATTTGATAAAATTTAAGTAATTTTAATTAAAATATGTGTCAATATTTGTTTGTTGCATTGTGCTTATTTTTTTAATTCTAATAAATTTTTCAATTTTTTCTACTAATTTTATATATTCTTTAGCACTATCTTGTTAGAGAAGAAATGTATAAATGGTTTTTAAGCTAGATATTGCAGTGCTAACACTAATAACAGAAATTTTATGACTGTTATATGTTTCATTTAAATCTATAGTTCCTTTAGTATTTTTGAAAAGATATACAAGTTTATTAATAATTTGGTCATCTTTAGAAACTTCATAAACTACATTTTTTTCAGAAATATTGAGAAATTCTTCAACTGTCATAGAGCAAGAGAGATTAAGATCTTGTATTGTATCTTCAAGATCATCAGACATTGGATTTTCTTGTTGAATATTTGATGAAAAATTTCTTAATTCTGCATTGATATTAGTAAGAAGAATTTTTGTATAGCACTAACAATTGCAAATAGTTCTAGCATTAACCTCATCCCAGGCTTGAATTATAAAATAAATTGCTTACAAGACATTTAGCTGTAAGTTTTCAGCACAGTTTCCTTCTTCTACATATTGTAACATCAAGCTTTAAACAAATAATAATAATAATAAAGAAAAAATACAATTAATAGTTGAAACTGAGATTTTGAAATATTTTAATATTAAATTTTAAAAATTTTAAGGTTTTTTGTTAGTTTTTTTAAAGTTAGATTAGGGTTTAAAAGTAGTTTTATTAATAAAAAGGTACAAGTAAATTTTAATAGATATTATAGATTTAAATAGAGACCTTTCAACCTTAACTTTAGCCAATCTTAGCTTCAGCTGCTACAATAATTACAAATTTATACTATAAATAAATTTAACTCAAATATCTACTATACATGGAAATGACAATAATGTCTTTTGAAAATCATGATAATTCTGACATCTAGTGATTAGATTCTCAAGGTAGTGTTTAAAGGAAAAAATTGAATATTAGTATAATACAAATTAAGTCTATCTAACTTATGACTAGAGCAATTATTAAGAAAAAGTAATACACACTGATCTTGATATCTTAAACCAACTTGGCAATCAAATTTTTAAAGCCACTCTTAAAAAAGCAATATAATTATCTATGTTTTAGCATTGCTGCAATACATTATAAGTAAATTCTAAATATTTACATTTTTAAAACAATGAGATTTTTGATATTTTCTAATAATAAGATAACTTAATTTATGAGACCTATTAAAATTCACACACAATGTGATTAAAAGGCATTCTTTGTTTATTTTATATTCAGAAAAATGTTTAGTAGCTAGTGTTCAGTCTGGCTTTAATCTATAAAATAAAAATATAAGTTGCTGTCAATAGAGATCAAGTAGATTTATCTAATAAATCTGCATAATTTCTATTGACAGCAACTAATATATAAAGTTATAAATATAAAACAATGTGTGAAAATTAGTAATGCAAGCACAATGCTATAATTTGTTGTATTTATAATTAATTACAGTATTTTTTGCTTTAATTCATTATGATTACATCAAATTATAACATTGTGCTTACATTAATAATGAGAATTCAAATTATAAAGCTAGTAGTTTTACCTATAAAAAAGATCAGTTTTATCTATATTATAGATTCTTTTAGAAGAATATTGAGAATAACAATTTTTTAATAAGAGTAAAGCAATACTAATTGTGTTTTTATTAGCAGACTCTGCCTCTCCTTCAAGCTTTCATTAATGAATGTCATTATAATTTTTAAACTTCTGAAGCCATTCTAAGAAATATTGCAATGCATCTTCAGAAATCTCCAATCCTTTTAACAAGCAGTTTTGTTTTTTTAATAAGTATCACATCACTTAATACTGTTTTATATTGTTAAGTCAAAAAAAATTCTCTAAGTACAAGTTTAAACTGAGGATAAGAAACTAGTTTATGCCATTTTATGTCTGAGTTATGTGATTTTAAACTAAGCCTTTGTTCTGATATTTTTAGAATATGAGAAATGGTACTTTCATCAACTTTTATTCTCCACTTTTTTTCAATCCAATTAATATATTGAGTCTGTGCCATTTTATTATTAAGGGCATAAGCACAAAGATCTCATTTTTGAACATCTATAAGAGTAGTTCTTTTACGTGATATTTTTTTTATATAATTTAATTTTTATTTTATTAAAAGTAATTTTTCTTTTTGAACTTATAATTACTTATTTATAATTTTTTTTTTATTAAAGATTTTTATATTTGTTTGGAGCTTTGAAGGCAATGTGATGGGAGAATTTTATTATATATTTCATTTTCTTTATTTTTATTTTTATTTTTATTTTTTTTTATTTTTTTTATTTTATTTTTTTTATTATTTTTTACTTTTATTTATTTAATTTTTTTTTTATTGCAAATTTGAAATTAGTACTAATCATTATATTAACACAATCTCATTCATATAAATAAGATTAGTTGATAATAAAACCAGCTTTACTATAGCTTTGGCACTATTATTTTAAATTAACTAACAAGTTTTAAGAGGCATAGTTTCAAAGTCATAGTTAAGCATGCTTGATTATCAAATTTATAGTTTGGTTTGATTAGTTAAAATAATTCAAAATAACCCAAAATTAATTTGTTACTCATCAGTTTTTATTAATCGATTATCCAACATAACTTATTACTTTGTTATATTACCTAATTTTATACATATAGTTGCAGTATTCTGCTAAAAATTTTTACTCATATATTTAGTAATTTTGATGCTAACTATATTTTTTATGTTTAAAATCTTGTATTGACAAGTCAAGTTAAGCTTTTTCTATATATTTTAGGCATTTTCAGATCATATGTATAAACTATGCTATCCAGAATTAGAACTTTATTTTTAACAAATTCTTAGCATTAGTATTTTTATTTTTTTAAAAAAATTTGGATATTCAAATTTACATAAAATATAAACTGAATAAATAAAGCAATCTATTATCTGTTTTAATAAATAACCTAGTATAAATCTTGGCATTAGAAGTTAATAAAATTGTTGAACTAAAATAATCATAGTGGTCTTTTCTAGCAACACATTATAAAAAAAAAGTAAATATGATTAGAGATGCAGTAAAATCATTCCAATGCTAATTATTATATAGCTATAACTTGCCATAACTATAGCAAGTAAAATAACAAATAAAATAAATAAGTTACAACTATAATGCCATAACTTATAGCAAGTTACAGCAATGTGACAATTAGCATTAGGACAATTTTACTGCATCTCTAATTACAACTACAACACATATTTAAGGAATTGATCAGGACAGCCTTCAAATTTATGAGTTATATGAGACAAATGCTACTGCTATTAGCTCAAAATATATGAAAATGTAACAATATAACAATAACTTAAGATTATTTTGGTAAAATTAACAATCACATATACTTTATATGCAACTGCACAGTGACACTACTCACATGATCTACAAATTTGAAGGCTGCTCTAGTCAATTCCACATTCAAGTACTTGAAAGTACAATCTATGAATGATTTAATAATTTATGCTGAACAGTTATAGGTTTTAGGTAGAGATGCATTTCATTATTGGTAGATATCTAGTTAGTCAGATTTGTTTTATATTTGATCATATCTCATAGAAAGACTTTCATATGATTGCTGTTTAAATCAATTTGATTTTACATTATTTATACAGTTTAACATATTTTTTTAAAAAAATAAAACTATGAAGAATAAACAAAAAAGAAGTATATAGAAAGTTTTATTAGGGTTATAAAATTTAATTATTAAAAATAATCAAAATCAATTCTGGTTTTAGAGGAATTAGCATATTAGTAACTTTTTAAAGATAGATAGAATTAGGTTATTATCATGTTAAATTTTCTAAAACCAGAAATAATTTTGATTATTTTTGATAGTAAAGTTCTACAATCCTAATAAAACTTTCTATATACTTCTTTTTTGTTTATTTTTTATAGTTTTATTTTTTTAAAAAGTATTTTAAACTGCATAAATAATGTAAAATTAAATTGATTTAAACAACCAATCATATGAAAGTCTTCCTATGGAATTATAATTTTAAGATGTCAATTTTTAATTGGCCATCATAATGCAATTATCATGTGAGTACATTTATAGAAAAATTTTTAATATACACAGAATTCAAAATCATTGCACATGCAGAACATAGAAGATGTCAAAGTCCCAAGCTTGAGATCAAACTATAGTGTGTATATAGAGAGGATATGTACTTATAGAGGGTGCACTTATAAAGGTTTTACTATAACTGTTACTCAAAATTAATAAAACTTTCCAGAGACTATCAATTTAAATAGTTCTGTATAATATATTTATATATACTTTTTTTTCTAATAATTCTGATAATCTGATTGATATATATGCATTATTTATATATTTATTATCTAATTTATTTGATAATTCTTTTAGGAGTGTTTAATAGGCTTCTATTGTTCTAACAGTATGATTAAAAGTTTGTGCTACCTTTTTACTCAGAATTTATAAATAAACTTCTGTCTTCTTAGTTTTTTAGTCTTTTATGCCTAGTAGTCTTATTATAGCTTTGTATTAAAACCTTATATAACACTAATTTTTTATATTTTTTGGGACCTAACTTGATGTTATTAAGATTATAAATACCCAAATTCAACTGATAACAAGAAATATTTTCATAACATAGATATAATTTTTAAAATTCATTATTTGTAAGAATTAAACTTTAGATCTGCCACTTGAAGTTGACAACCTATCCACTTTACTAAGTTGTTACATCTTACAAAAATTAAAAAATTAAATTGTAAAACCCAATTAATTTTTATTTTATTTTTGTTTTACAATATTATACAATTTAAATAATTTTTTTAAAATTATTTAATAAAATTTTATTTAAAATTTAAAAAAAAATAACTTGTAAATTATAAATAAAATAAATATGTTTAAACAATGTTTTTTATCAACTTTTTAACCAATTTTAATAAAACTTTTTATTGAATTGATTAAATACTTGTTAAAAAAAACTTTGAATTTTTGTTAAAAACTCTATAACTTAAAAATTTATTAACAGAATAAATTTTTTATAAATTTAAACAATGTTTTCTTAGCAACCACCAATCAATATTGTTAAAACTTTTAATTATTCAGATTTAACAAGGCATTCAAATAAAACAAAAACCATTTTATTAAGTTTGATTAGGTAATTGTTAAGAAAGCTTTGCTCAAATTTTTAAAAAAAATAATTTTAAACTGTTATGCATAACACGTATGGGAAAATTTTGTGTAACTTTAATAAATATCAACCTGCTCGTTATTTCAAGTAGCGCATATATATTGTTTGGGATATAAGCTTACCAGTCCGGCACAGAAAAACATTTAAATGTACGTCATTCAATGTCAGTTCGAAGTTAGTTATAGGTTATACAACTTTTGAAATAATGTTTATGGGCGGAAATACGGTGATTCTAAGCAAAATCAATATAAACATATACTGAATTATTAATTATAATTAAACACAAAATAAATATACTAAATTATTAATTTTTATTATAATTAAGTAAAATCATTTAGCATTCTACTTTCCATAAAATCTCGAAATAGTGGGAATGAGCGTTATTTTGAGTTACAATCGAAATTTTAAATTTAAAATTTGGATATAATTCAAAACAAAGTCCATGACAACTATGACAAATTTTATGACTCACACCAAATAATTAGAATTATTTGGAAAGTAAGATAACGGATAATACCGTTATTGAATGTAAATGAAATGCCAAAAACCTTAGTATTTGGCAGTAAAATTTAATATGCTAAATTTTGGGTCCTTTCGGGAAACCAGATAAATTTACAACTAGGTACTATATAATTATTTTTTCGGTAATAATGATGTGTGACAGGTTACATACTATACGTACGTACGCTAATTGATCAATATCGGCCTATATTAAACAGATTTTAATGTTAGGGTTGGAGTGGGAAGAGTTATAAGGGGGATTTAGGTAAAATCTATACCAAAATTATGAGTAGAATTTTTTTTTTCTTAAGGATTAAGAACGATTTCATAAGTAAAATTTTGAAATAAAAAGAAGTTTTTTTTCGATCAACTTGTCACACATTCCGGGCATGCTATAATAATATTGAGATCCACATTATCACATTGTCTACCGGAAAAATAAATAATTATTAATATATACAAAATTATTACAAAATAACGAAATAATTTATTAAATAAAATTAATATATATAGTAATTATTTGCAAAAATAATTGAACGAATAAAAATTAGAAACTTTTAAGATATATAGAGATGGAAACCAATAACTCGAAACTACAAGTTTAGGTTAGAGACATAAACCTAAACCATATCCTAAACTCTAACCTAAACTTGTAGTTTCCCATCTCTAGTGTACATTTAAAGGATGTATTTATACGTACCCATTCTTTTTTTTGTTATCAATATTCATACGTAAATCTTATATATGCTGTATATAGAAAATTATTGAAAAATCGTAACAGAATCTTTTTTTTTTTTCAATGCTGATAACGACGGTTTCCTTAACATATTGAGCAGAATGGCAACGGACAACTTAAGCTATATATATCTGGATGGAGAAGAAATTTATAAATAATGTTATAATAATTGATCTGAAAAATTGGCTACACAATTTAAAAATAAAACTAATTATGTAATGGGCATAATGATAAGAAAAATTTTGTTTATTCAAAGTCACCTATAATATAATATAAAATATATGTTATAACTTAATAATATTGATAATTCGTGACCGTAGAAAAAAAAAAAATTCATATGATCGACATGATCGATATGACGATCGAAATAACAGCACTAATAAACAAGCATTAATATAGTGGGAATAAAATATGACCGAAATAATGGGGAAAAAGTAAGCAAACGAGAGAATAAGGGAGCATGGAGAGATAAGTACATACATATAAATTGATCTAAAAGATAGCCATTGGAGGTTGTTCATATGAAAATTTGGTGTTCTTTCTCTGCGAGGAAGAGCAAGAGCAAGAAATTTCAAAGTAAAAATACATAAATATAATGTGTATGCATAAATCATAAATCATAAAAATTTGTGTATTGCGATTAATATCGAGTAGATCCACCCTAAAATCGAAACGAAAAAGAATGGAAATTCCACACACGAATAAAGTATTCATCTCCACCCAAGAAATGAATATTATACGATTTTATTAAACTATTAAATTTAGACGAAGAAAAAAAAATTAATGTTTTTTTTTTGCCGAAGCTAACCACCAATTTGGGGCCAATTATTCAAATATAACAAAAAGGAGAAGCGAAATCGAATGTAAATAATTTTGACACAAAGTTTCAAATAGTCCTTAGGGACATTAAAATAATTTATTGTATATTTGAAATTTTTGGGTCATTAGATAGAATCCTTGACGGTGTATAGGGAACAGTAATACCAATTCGGTGATCTGATGAATTTGAATTTGTAGGATCGCTGGACTGTTGCGATGAATCAGTAAGATTATTAGATTGTTGGGACTGTTGACCAAAGTTCATGCTTATTTCGGATATTTTTGAATCACCCATAGATGACGTAAGTTTTATAGCTTTTAATGCTATTACACCGACTTGATTCTCAGATCTAGATGAAGAATTAGGCAAAAAGCTAAAAGAACCGGATTCATCTGATTTTAAGTCTTTAACAATTTCCTCTTCACGATAATGTTGGGGTGCATAAATAATATGTGGTTGTGGAACAGACGCTTCTCTATAATAACTTCGCCCTTTGTGATTTTCCCTATTACTATAAACAGGGTAACATTATTATATAATTGTAAAATATTTAAAATGAATTATTATATGTACATACTTTATCTCATAAGCCAAAATTGTAACAATAATAGCATTCATCATGGGAACTAAAAAAAAAATTACGAAATTTAATTTTTGATAATAATCATGAATGATATTTTGACGAATTCTAATTACCGATCAAGACCCACAAAGTGGCAAAAGTTAGAGACAAATAACGTGAAAATGTCAAGAAAAAGTCCCTAAAAACTGCAAATAGAAGCGACGATGATGCAAAAAAAAGTAAAGCGCTTAGGAGCAGCGCAAGAACCCACCGCAACTAAAGCAAGATAAATAATTTTTCATGACATAAATAAATAAATAAATAAATTTATACTTTCAATTTCTAGTAAAGTAATGAAATTTTTACCTTGTTCAAACCACGTTCTAAATTTTTGATTTTTATGGGTGTAGCCCTCCCAGAACGTTTTGTATCCTAAATATAAAAATATGATAAATTAAGAGAAATAAAATAAATATACATCTGTAAAATTTATACCTCAATGTGAGTCACTATTATATTAGTTAATCTACTTCCAAAATAAACTAATCCAATCATTATAATCCAACAAAAAAAACTCCAACTTAAATAATGTATTCTAATCCAAACTTCAGCTTGTTCTATTGCACCATGATCCATGTACAGGCCGGATATAATGGCAAAAGCATTCAAAGAAACTAGTAAAAGTAAAAAAAAAATTTAACAAATGAAAAAATAAATAAAATAAATGAAATTTCAAAATAACCTATTGGTCCAATTAAAACGAAAAAACCGAAGGCATCTACAATGGCAGGACGTGGTATCCAAATATTTCTTGGTTTTTCATGAGAAAAATAATGGTGATTTGAATAACGTGTTATATGAGATCTTGGTATTGTATATATAAGGCCAATTAGATAAACAGCAAGAGACGCTAAGGAAATTGTGAATGTCACATCATGAAAAACTTCAAAGATTGATAATTAGGCAATTAGCTCAATTAGTTCAATTAGTAAGGGTCAATGATACATGTGAATAAAAAAGGAAAAAGTTCTCACGTTCTCTTAATATATTACTAGTTAAATAGTCACTTAGAATACAAACAGAGTATAAAAGTCGTGCTGTTAAATGAAATAAAGTCAGAATCGCCAAAATTTAAACCCAAATAGAAATAAAACGTAATATTAAACGTACAGCAAACATGCAACATGTTTAGAAGTAGGAAACATTCTAGTGGTCTTGGACGGAAATAACCCATTTCATTTAAAGGATCCTTTGCTATTAGACGCTGACCTCTCACCGTAGTTCTCCAAATTAATAGGCCGGTTATCAAGAGGAATACCAGAAAGCATATTATAGTGTTTATTAAATATAAGATACGTAAAAATGAATCTTCGTCCGGGCATCCTAATAATAACAAATTATAATGAATAATTCGAGTTGTTGCACAGAGTTTATGTGATTCATTTATAATTTATGAATGAATAAGAAAATAATAATAATAAGAACCTGTCACTTGTACTCTCCAATCACAATGGCATTGATTAAATCCATTATATACACCTAGAACGCAAGATACTTAAGTAAAGTCTATTATATATCCGTAAAATTTCACCTACAATCACTTATGACATAAATAGACAATTAATTCACAAATAAGTTTATTTTTATAAATAGATTATTTTACCAGAAGCTTATTTCGAGAAATAAGCTAAGAATTAATTTGGACGAACATTTTTTTTTGAAAAATAATATTATTCTCATTCGGTTAAATTAATTCTTAGTTCTCATTAAGTTAAATTGTGAGTCTCGAAGTAACGACTAAACCTTAGCAGTAATGAATGGAATTACTTTGTTGGTGAAATGAGCAGTCAGTGAAACAAACTGGCATAAATAAACAATAAACTTTCTATAAAATGAGGTTGTCAGTGAATTAATTGCCTGTAAAATAATAAACCTGTCTGTGTACAAAATAAGGTGTCTACGAAATGAGTAGCACTTGTCCAAGGTCTACTATATTAAGCGTGAATGTCGATTCAAGAACAAACCTGAAACGCATATAACTTCAATAGGATTTGTTGGAATTTTTCCATTGGGTGAATCGGTTACATTGTTATTAAGACTCATTGTATAGCGTGATAATGGTTGTTTATATTTGAATTGGGATTGTTGAAATGGCGGCTCGCAACAAATTAAAGGAGCGAATATATCCAAAGTACAAAAACATAAAGGCTTACCACTACACTAAAACAGTGTTGTGATGCCCATCATTCTTTTTTACCAAAAAGAGTGGAGAAATATTAACTTTTATATTTAAAGTCTTCTATTTAAAACACGTGAATTATTACATACGAAGAACATAACTTATTTTTTAAAACGTAAGCTTTTTATTATAAATTAGTAGGATCAACATGATCAGCATGTAATTCTTATAAGACACGTTGGGCATTTTCAATGAACTGATTGGACGTGTTTGATAATCATAATGCAATTGAGTTAACGTTTAATCAAATCATATGACCAAAAAGGAAACCTTATACATTAACGTCAGATCATTGTGAAACGGTAACTTAAATACAGTATTGCTGTACGTTATACATCTAATCTCACACCCGCCGTGATCAATTAAAATAAAATTATTTTATGTTGGACTCAACTTCATAGTCTATGTGATAGATATAACCCTTCACCAGTTTTAATATATGTCCTCCTATTGTATGTAGACACAAGTACGTACCGGTACAATATAATACGAAAACTCAATAAACAAGAATAAGAACCTGTAATGCATTGCCTTTTTTCAGTACAACCCATGTACGTAAAATACTCGGGAGCGAACCATGGTTTTTTCCAAAATTATGTAAATGCAAAGTGAATGCGATATTAATAATGAATGCATTGATCCACAAAAATCCGGATACGCATTCATGAACCTACCTATTCGTAAAAATACCATTGTTCCTGATAGGGTTCTAAAAAAAGGCTTTTAAAAATACTATACTACTATAGTGAAGTACTGTATGTAAAAAAAAAAAATAAGATCAAGATACGTTTTTAGAAACGGTACTTTAATAAATTTTTTATCATCAAGATTGATACTGCCGATCCATCAGGAATATAGTTTTGCTGCCTAAAAAAAAATTGTTTACGAAAAGTATCGGTTATCGGTAATGCAGACTTATATAAAAAAATAATAATAGATTTAAAAAAAAACAAATAAAGATCAGTGTAATACATATGATCTGCAAGGTTGATGTTTACTGTGTTTACTGTATTATCTATATTATCTGTATATTATCTGTATATTATCTGTATTATCAGTATATTATCAGTATATATTACAGTATTATCAGTATATTACTTGTATATTATGAGTAGTCTCGTGAGAGTGAAACCTGAAAACACATTTATTTACTATTATTTGATACAGGTTTTCTACCCTCATGCATTCATATGATATGCGTGTAGAATAAGATTTATTTCTGAAAAATACATTCAGCAATAAACTTTATTTAATAAAACCGTAATGGTAGTTAGGTATCTAGGAAGCATTTAAAGTGACAAAGATTTCATTTAACTATCTAATACAACATGATAAATAAACAATTTCATCTATCGTTTACTTTAGAGTTTACATACGGAAATTTATTTTTAACTGTCACACGTTCTGTCATCAACCTACCAAAGAAAAAAAAAAAACGCTTAAACAAGCTAAACCGTTCTTCATTATCTAGTTGTGGTAATGATGTCACCTAATTTTTCCGATGCAGATAATAACGATAACTATATTTTTTGACATGCAGTACATTTTATATATGTATTAAAGATAAATACATGTACTGAAGATTTGATCAAATGACCAAATATGCATATTCATTAATTTTTATAATTAATGTGATAATCAAAATAATAAGTGTTATATTAAGGATTGGCTTTTATGTAAGAGAAAAACATGAAATTTTGGGCATAATCAAAGAAAAAAAAAATCTTAACCTCAATTTTACGAAGCTTTCAAATAGATAAACAATAGTTACACTAACACAACATACAATTGCAGTTCTCGTTGCACTGAAATATAATCTAAAAGTGTAGGCTATCCATTGTTTTAGTATCATTTTATTCGCATTCGCATTTAACTCCTTCCGTTTCAATTCTAGGAATGGCAATGGCCTTCTATTTCAATACCATTTATATCGCAGTACTATATATATATATATATTGTCTATCTATTTATCTTTATTTATTTATTTATTTATTTACTTATATATATATATATATGTATATACAGTATATATATGTATTATATAACTATTAGAATTGAGAACCTAGAATTGATTCGCTTTCAAAAATATATTGGAATGTTCATGTAAGTAAAGTAACACATCGACTACAAACATTCGAATTTCGCAAATGTTAGCACGAGATCTACACAAAACGTTATTTATGAAATATGTAAAGATTTATTCTCACAATTATTAATAATGTGAAAAATTATGTCGAATTAAACTAAACTTGGATGTAAAATGACTGATTGTACTCTCAATAATAATCACGCTTCATGACATCCACGAGATTTCATCACAAAAGTAGTTTGATTAAAGTATCCAATTTTACAAGAAAGGAGTGAAGGCGTAAGACATATCAATATTTTTATGCAAAATTTAGCATCTCCGGAATGAATTAATAATTGTGTGCATATACCTCGTGTAAAAAACTTTATCACAACCTTATCACAAAGCGTAGATATATTCTTGATAACATATTCTCTTACTTTGATTTTCTGATAATGTACAATCTCATTGTGTCAAAAAAAAATTTTTTTTCTTATATTATTGGTCCTTATCGAATGTCGCATAAAACCTACAAATTTAGTATTAAAAGTACGGGGCATTCATTAACTTCAATTTATCAAATCAGGTTGTCTTGTAACAGCTTTGTATTCTTTCTAAATTCCGTTCCTTTGAGTAATACAATAGTTACTTTTTATTGATTGTTTTCGTATCGGCTTTTTAGATTATTCTAATTATCGATTTCACAATATCAAAATTCTATTCAAGTCATGAGGCGCAACTCTGGCGTTACTATATGTTTACTTTATGTATCTATTAATATATTGTTAACTTGTTTGATGGATCATTTGAATTTAAACTTTAACAAAGCCATTTCCAACCGCGTCAATAAATCTATCTGCATCTATTGCAATTTTGGATTGGTCTGCGAGAATGCAGTCATACTACGTATCATAAGATTATATAATCGGTAATATGTAAATGTATTACATCGGAATATGATCCCAATTTCCCCGAGTTAATTTGATTACGTGATTACAGATTTGACGGACTTCGGGTCTAGAACTTAAAGTTTAGTGAGTTTAGTGAATTTAGTGTTTTTATTAAAGTAATTTCTTTGTAGTTTATTTGTAGATCATCACGTGCTTGCAAATTCTGCTGTTCGTGTTACTATGCTACCAAGTTATTGTTATTTTCGAATAGAATATGATAAATATATACTTTATTAAAATGTGTGTGCAAAAGAATTTTGCCAGAACATCGTATCATAATTCACTTCATGAATCGAACCATTTTGTAATCTTTATCATCAATCTTTCCACATGGTAACACGTGGTAACACATCAAGGACATACATTATTTGATGCAAAACATTTTTGATACCCTTACACCCAGGGATATACATTTTTGATACTCTTACACCCAGGGATATACATTTTTGATGTCCATCCAAAGCTCATCTAAAGCTTTAATAATTAAATAATTTATTTAAAAATAATATGATTATATATTTATATATATTTAATTTTAAACATTTTTACTTAGAAAGTTAAAGTAGTTTATTTTAAAATTTTGAGTAATTTTAATATTTTAAAATGTCCAAGATGTCCAAACTTTGTCTCGTGAACAAAAACTGCCTACACCTACTTTTTTGATACATCTAAACATACCCTAAACCTAACCAATAAGATCGCACGTTATTATAGTATATAAAGTTGTAAATTTTAGGTATGTTTAGATGTATCAAAAATGAATTTTTTGCTTATTTAATAGACGCATATATTCATGAGATTATGGGATTAGTATCTAAACAATCAATAAAGATTTTTTGGTACTCGACTGCAAACTTTTCAATAAATGAATCAACCTTCAGATAATAATGATCTCTGCAAAATTTAGTTACAATTAATTGTGTCGTTTATATTATTCATAATTAATTATACTAACTTTTAGTTTGTAGTGATAGTTTCTTCTATTTTCATGTATTATAATGTATTTAAATGTATTTTAATGTATTTTAATGTATTTTAATGATGGTTTAAATCGCAATAATGATAAATTGTATTGTATGAATATATATGGTTTGTATAACCTAGTTACACTCAGGTTTATCCATAAAACAACACGTTATTGTACAGGGTTGGTACGTACGTACAGATGGTAATCTTTTCTGATTGGCGATTATAAATAGTAAAGCACATAAAATTCAAATTGCAATATATCGATATGCGAAATAGTGAAATTCGCGATTTATTATGTTTTTTATGATATAAGAGCGGATTCGACCATCATATCGCCCAACTCTACCAGGGCCACCTGCCGTAGTTGCAGCAGATGAATCAGTATTGGATTTATAGTGCTACGTTTTCTATGAAAATTTTGACACTGTATCGGTATTGCATTTTTGCATATTGAACATAGGTGGCGCCACCACATGATCCGTATTTTTGAAGGCCTACTCTGGTAGAGTTCATATCACCCTGTCGTATCGTTTTTATTTTATCAAATAAATTATCAGTTACATTCTAAAAAAAAATAATGACCATTGTTACATTAAAAAACATGAAAAAAGTCTACTAAAGTATTTGCAACGTAGTTCAGAAGATATTACAATCGGAATTTGGTATTTAATATTTACAATTAGCAATTAATAAAAAAAGTGTCTAATAGTATAATGAACTCGTATAACGAAGGAAGGCTAAGTAAACCTTGATACAATGAATTAAATTATAATAAATTTTGTTTGGTATAATAGATTTATTTAATAAACCTATCCCTTAATCTGTAGAGCAAGCAAATTTGCCTGCTAACTTATTTAATATTTTTTACAATTAGATA